TCTCTCTCTCTCTCTCTCTCTCTCTCTTTCTCTCTGTTCCTGTCCTTTTCCTTCATCTCGTTCATACGACGAAGACGACGAAGACGAGAAACGACGACGACGACGTCGACATTGCGCTAGCTCCGGTGTAGTGGTGGGGTTGGAAAACCAATGGGGCAGGATTCCGAGACTTGGAACGGCATCCCTGAATTCTTGATTCTCTTGGTAAACAAGTGCTTAGGTGATTCACTGCTTGTTCGCTCCTATCGGCCGTCGTTTGTTTCTAGACGCCATTGCGTTTTGCGATTCTACCTCGTTTTCCGGTCTAATGGCTTTCCGTGACTAACGGTGGATAAGGTTGCTCGGAAACTCTCACTCCTATTTCTATTTATCTTTTATTTCCTCTTCTTTCCTATTCTCACCCAATCCCCCGTATCTCTGCATTTTCCTGCTCCTCTTGATATCTCCTTGATATAACGGATTTCGTTGCGATTATTAAACGCATCGCTTCTCGATTTGAAAGATGTCGTCGATGCTTGTATTTGTCGAGTATAACATAGGAAGGGAAAATCAAAGAGGCGAGTCTTTTGAAAATAGGCGATGGTTATGCAATATATTCATATTTTTAAGGATGTAGTTGAAAAAATGGATAGAGAATTGCATCATCTACTAAATAGTTAGAATAAATACCATATATTCTGTATATTTTATATAATTCTGCATGTTACATAAGATGTAGAAATGCACACAATGCTTATAATGTGCAAAAGTACGTAAAATATCCAACGTAGAGTATTTATCATAATGTTTAGTAAATGAAACAATTTTATTTATCTTCATAACAATGTTAACTGATTATTTTGTACTTAACAGTATTTGCTCCAAAATTTTATCAACATATCTTCTCGACTGTATTTTTACAACTGTTTTGATTATTGCAAGCTCCTAACTGTAGTTTGTTAGTTTAGTTGCATATAACTTTTGTTGTATTTCAGCTGCTACGTTATTACACGAGACGGCAAATTCGCGGAATATTAACTCTTAACTGGTATAATTGGACCATTGCACCATGATAATTTCGAGTTAAATTACAATACTTAGTTTCAGAATATATAATTTAATCGAATCCTCTCGCACAGAATGTGAAACACGAAATTAAACTCAAGATTTAAAACCTAGATTTTAGTGATCTAACTACACCAATAAAATCTATTTTATTTTCTAAAATTGGAGCTACGTTGAAATGCAAAAAATCGAGGATAGTAAGAGAGGTTAATCCTCGTTCTTCTATTTAATTTGCCTCTTGCTGTCAAATTGCCACAATCATAACGAAAAGATAAATAGTTAAATTTGCAATTCTTTCTATTAAGAATAAACAGGCTGAATTTATTTTTACCATCAACGTACAAGATTCACACAAGTCTTGTCTTTGGACTTTCATTCATTACAATTGCTATATTTAAAAACTATAGATGCCTACATTCATCTTTGAAAAGGTGATGCATTGAATGTATGATCGTGGTATAATAATTAGAAGGCAATGTACTGTTTGCCAAGGATCTTGAAAACGAATATTTCTTACAACTTTGCCGTGTGTGAGAAAATTACTATACTCGCGTGCTGCGAGCAAGATGTGTGACATTTTGTAAGAAAAATTTGCCAATTTAACGCAAGGGACAAGAATTTAAATATTGTCGATGAACAAAGGTTGGATTGTCAAGCAATTAATACACTAGCAAATGAATAATCGCGCGATGTCGGTAAAATCGAAGATCCGACTAGTCTCGTTCGCGGATCCCGCGACGGATTCCATCATTAGCGCTAACAAGGTTGGCCCAAGGCTACAAAGGGGACTTTACCCTTCGTCGGACTAACCTCTAGGTACACATACACACGCGTGCAAACACGTGCAGAAATGAACACGAATAGAGAGTATATGAGGGTATACACCCCCCCCCCCCGAGTTGTAGCTTGGTCCCTCTTTGAAACAAGAGGGGATAATAAGATCTACGACAATCAACTCAAGAACGACGATGCCGAGAAACGAGCGACAGAGAGAGAGAGAGAGAGAGAGAGAGAGAGAGAGAGAGAGAGCATTGTGAGGTACGACCTATCGGATGAGCTGAGGTGATATTCGTCACGTGATATTCACACTTCACTTTACTGAGTTAACTATTTATCGATCAATTGTGGTACTGAGAATAAAAGCTATATTTTTATTCACCCTTTGAGTGTTAATTGTCTATTGATCAATTGAGACATTGAGAGTAAATTAATCTCTTCGAGTGTTAATAGAAACGTGCTTTACACACTATTGCACTAAATGTCTCAGTCAATCGATGATCAGTTAAAATCAGAAAATAATCTCGTATTTAGTAGAAGCTTCTAGTCAATGATAAAATAATTAGTTTACTTATTAGAGGAACATATGCTTAAAGATGAATACGAATGCTCTCCATTCAGTAGTAAACTTTCAAATATTTGCTAATCCTAGATACTCAAGAAATTAAATACGATTATTAGCAGATCCTTGGAATTTATTTTTATAGCTACAACAATAAAAAAAAAAACAGAATTCGATAATATAAATCGAATGAAAAGAAATTGCAAATAATGCAACGGTCTTTAATAGTCTTTAATAGGTTAGTAATGTATTAAAATTAAGGTACTACCCGCAAGTAGCGATTGCAGCCGGAAGAATGAAACGCAGTACTATGTATAGCAGAAAAACGTATAAATATTCTCCTGCCAATTTTCAGCAACTCATAAACGTACATTTTACACGTCTTTTTAGTGCAATGAAGAATTATTGTAAATATGCTTTTAGGTATCATCAGGGTATAAAGGGTTAAAATGTTTAAACGTATAGAAATATATAGTAATTCCTATTCATATTCAAACACCAAAGTGTTCAAAATATATATCTACCTGTTTTATGATGGTAATTTATCAAATTAATTGTTTCTTAATATATTAAAACCTTAATATATTAAAACCTTAATATATTACAGTTAACAGCTAAACTAACCTAACCTAAACTAAATGGTGTAACTTAAAATTGCAAAAAAATTCGGACAACGAATAATTAATATTTCTTTTAATAATACTAGATTAATTTTTGATGTGTATAATCTAGAAATATTAGTTTCAAGTTATATAAAGTTTATACAGCCTGTATAAAGCTTGTACAGTTTAGTTGAGTAAACGATTTTGAAACAGTTTTTAAAACGATGATCTCCGTATTTTAAAACTAATATCTTTAAACTCTCTTCAATCAAAATTATCGTATTATCTAAAAAGAAGTAATAAATACATACATATATGGTGTGGTACGAAACGAAGTTCCTCTCTGATGCACTTGTTAAACAATAGATTTTAACAATTTAACAAACAAAAATCGTTTCACAGCTATTGATTTTGTCACTTTCAACGATTGAACTGAACAGTTCGATAAATCACAGAGGGCGTATGGAACATTCGAATTTTTACGATATCGGTATTGCAGATTTTCTCACAAGATAACTCTCATATCGGCTGCTTGGTGTATTACCATTTACTGTTAAATAGAAGATTAATTGCAAATGAATCCGCAGGATGTCGCAACATTAGGTTTTACTCATTACATTTGACATATATAGGTATATAGATATATATGTATATATATATATATATATTTATGTAATTAAAACATGATTTATATAGAAGACAACGTGCTTCTTACTTTATATTTCGACATCAGGAATATCATCATTTTATAAAAGGTACGTAATTTGAATTTTACACAATGTGCCATATGTTGATATAACGTGCTAATTATTATTGACAGTTACAGTTCCCAAGAAAAAGTGTTCTTAATAACTGCTTTGAAAAATTACGTTAGACATGTGTAACAAAAGTCACTTTGTAATTGACTGAAGCACACGAAGAGTAAATAAAAGTGGCAGTTGTCTGTATCATTATGAATTGGATTTTAACATAGAAGATGAAGAACATATATGGAAAAGTGGTTGTTCTAGGTTCACAAGGTAAATTTCACAAAAAGAATAAATTAATCTTATTACATTTTTAATTTATTTATTTTTTCCATTTGATATTCATGTTGAATGTACGCTTATTCTATGTACGTAAAACATCGTAACGTATATTCTGTATTGTAATTTCAGTAAAAGATTTGTAGGTTATCTCATTGTTTCCTTACTATGTACTTTTTAACTGCATATTTGTTATGTATTTGTTACGTATGTTTTAACTACATAATAACACTTGATTTCTATTAATAATTTTCCAGGTGTCGGTAAGACAAGCATAATCAAGCGTTACATCGAGAAAAAGTACAACGAACATTTAAATCCTACGATTGGAGCATTATTTTTCTCTTGCAAATTAGACATGGAAGATGCAAGAGTAATGTTAATGGTACAACAATAGCCATGAAATAGTTTTAATTACATATCTTAAATCTTCTAGAATTGAGAATTGTTTCTCTTTACTTTTTGTATTTCTGCTATTCTATTCATACACACTAAATGAATTCATACAGACATTTTCATTCAAAATAAAAGTGAATATAACATACAAAATTATTATAGATCTACATCGCATTGTAAGAACTGAATAAGATTATTAAGTATTTGTGCACTTTATTTATTTTACGCAATGTAGATTTGGGACACAGCAGGACAAGAAAGGTTCAGATCAATGGCACCAATGTATTATCGAAAAGCTAATGCAGCTATGTTGGTGTTTGATTTAACTCAGTACAGTACGTTTGCAGCAATGAAACGATGGGTGGAGGAACTTCAAAAAAATGTGGAAGACCCTATGGTATTGGCAGTAATTGGAAACAAATTGGACTTGATGGAAAAAAGGCAAGTTGACGCTGAGGAGGGTAGAGTTTATGCTACGAAAATTGGCGCAAGCTATCACGAAACGTCGGTTCTTCAAAGCGACGGGATAGAAAATCTCTTCTTAAGTATTGGTACAGGCCTCCTTAAATTATCTTCGAGCAACGATGATCTGACATCGCTAAGATCGGTCGAGTCGATAGATTTAAATTGGAGCAACATAGATCCGTTATGTACACCGACAATCGAAGAAAGTGGTGAAAACCTTAGTACCGCTCATGGAACGCAAGAGAAATCTTTCAAATGTTGCTAACCCCTCATCCCTTATTTCAATGACTTTCTAAATATAGACTGATGCAATCTTTGTAATTACTTTTTAATAGCGATTTAAGATAAGATTACAAGATTCTCCCCCGTTACGTAAATGCGCACAGACACAGAACACATCCACGAATACGCGAATTCTTATTTTCGATTCAAGAAACTGTATATTGTATATAAAATTTACTATAAATATGTCTGCCTTTCCTATGTATTTTTAATATATTTTTAATAAACGTGAAAAATATTTTATAACTACATTACGACTACAATATGATATATTGTGATAGATCAAGAAACTGTGTTACATATTGAATAAAATTTGATTTAATCGATCTAGTAATTAGTCGCGTAAGTGTAACTGTAACTGTCGGTATTAATCATAGCACGTGTGTATCACGTTAGTGTTCATAATGAAACAAATAGAGGAATTTTGTGCTCGTAAGCACAGAACGATAGTAAGGTGAGTCATACCTTCTTTGGGCCAGGTTTCGTGAAGCGTAACGCATCCCAGCTTTGTTTATGTTAACTTGTCTCTCTTCCGTTACATAAGGATTCCTTTGGTACACCTTCGGTTATGCCTCAGATAGTTCACAGTAATGATGACTCATTGCACAAAGATTCCGTTAAATGAGACAAATGATTGAAATGATTGCATCGATTCATTTGCTGCACCTACAAAAATAATAACTTTTAGGGGGAAGAAGTTTGAATATTTGTATGTTCAGATCTTTAATTGTACCATTTGCAGAAAACGTATTCTATTGAAAGGTGTACGTTTAATTGAATTAATTGATAATGAAATTAACGTCGTATGTATGTA